TGTGTTCTGTTTGAGACAAGGTCTCATTTATATAGCCCAGGCTGGCCTTGAAATCTCTGTTCTTCTGCTTCTGCCTTCTGAATTCTGGGATTGCAGAATTATTCTTCTTCTTGTTTTTGAGACAGGGTCTCACTATGTAGCTCTAGCTGTCCTGGAACTCACTCTGTAGCCCAGGCTGGCTTCCTACTCACAGAGCTCCACCTGCCTCTGCCCAAGTGCTGGGATTAAAGATGTGTGCCACTATGACTGGTCAAGGTTTCTGTTTTCTTTTCCTGCTCTGAGACACCAGAAGTCTAGCACCTCAGCTTGAAAGGGAAGTCATGCAGAGAGTGAAAATCCATTTAGATTTCTGCATGTACTCCTGCTTTAGTAATTTGTATGTATGCTTTACAAAGAAAAAAGCTTCAGGAAATCAAAAACATGCAAGTGTTTTTATTTTTGAAAATATTTGTGTGTGGAGGTCAGAGGATAACTTTGGAGATTCCATCCTCATCTTTCACCTTGTTGAGGCAACATCGTTCTTGTTTTTACTAGCATGCAGTGTACTCCAGGCCAGCTAGTCCACGAGCTTCCAGCCTGCCTCCACCTCCCATCTTACCACAGGAGTGCTGAGATTACTCTGCATCCAGACTGAACTCTGTTAATCAGAATTGCACAGCAAGTGTTTTTAAATACCTCAGCCATCTCCTCCAGCCCTCAGGACATGCAGTATCATGGCGTGTGTGGTGAGAGGATGAAAACCCATATATTCCCATTTTCATGGCTCTGGGCTTCACCATTATGACATTGTTTATCGTTTTGTTTTCGTTGGTCTGAGTCAGGGTCTCATGTATCCTAGGGCTGTCTTCAACTCACTGTGTAGCTCAGGCTGGTCTTGAATTTTTAATCCTCCTGCCCCTACTTCCAAATTCTGGGATTATAGGCTTGTACCACAGTGTCTGGTACCATTATTGCAGTCTTATTTTCACTGGATCTAAGCAAACAGCCCCAGTGAAACCATTATTGACCAGAAAAACATCTACAA